AGTTTAAAAAGATAAGCATCTTTTCTGCATTATTTCGGCTATACGTGCAATATTAAACACTATTCCACATAGGTTTTGATTTTCAACGCGAAGCGACTTTCACCCCCCACCCCCTGCAAAGGGATGCACAACTCTCACCTTCGACTCTCACCTCTCCCTCCTCCCTGTAAAGGGGCGCACGACTCTCACCTTCGACTTTTACCCCCTCTCCCCCCTGCAAAGGAGCATGCGACTCTCATCTTCGATTCTCACCCCCCCTCCCCCCTGCAAAGAGGCGCAGTCGTCGACTCTCGTCGTGGGGGTGAGAGTCGAAGATGAAAGTTAGTTACTGAAAAAAAGCAGTTACTGAAATATGCATATTTTTCAAAGATTTTTGTTCATAACTTTTTAATAAACAGTAACCACCACTTAAAACCTTCTGAAGGTCACTAGGGTCATGATCTTGACAACATATGTCAAGGTCAAGGTCATCAGCGCGGTGTCCCTTAATTCCAAAACATATATACTTTTGTGAATATTCTCTATAATAAATATTTAAGTTAACAATTTCGAATTTATTTATAAACATTTCATTGGAGTTATGAGTTATTATTAAATACTGTGAACAAAAATCAATTAGTTTTAATCAAAATATAGTTAATGGTTGTTAATTTAGCTTTATTAATGTAACCAATACCGATCATGATTTTTTTTAATTTTGCCCAGTGTGGTCGCACTGTGTGCTGGTGAGATTTGAACTTACGATTCCTAGAACGGTAGTCTAATACACTAACGCTGAGCTAATCGCGCACTTGCAATGAAGTCATCGTCGTTTGCATCGATAATGATGCGAAATACAATACAAAATGTTAAAATTATAATAAATATATTTCTACACGGAGAGAACTTTGTTTTAAAATTTATCCCGAAAATATAGTAGTTGTGGTACAATACAATATTTTAAAGATTTTTACCATGCACTTAGTAAAATTCATCAAACTTATTTTATACTTTGTTGTAGTTTTATTAATAAATGAGAGAGATTTACATTAAAATTCTTGAAAATACATTGTCCCACGACTATCATATTTTCAGGGTAAATTCTAAGAAAAAATTCTCTTCTCTCTCTCTCGTGTAAGAATAATACAAAAAATATATTTACTTATTACATGTGTACATAAAACTAAAAAGAGATAAAGTATATATTGTTCAAAATGCGTTTTTATATATAATTAATAATAAATAAAATAGAAAATGGATTTTTATATATAATTCCTTCCCAAAATTAGTTTACAATAGAAATTCTATAATATTATAGGTCAAAATGATCTGTATTCGTCTCGCTCGTTCGTCGAAAACAATTCGCCTTTCCTTCATGTGTCGGATTCCTTCATGTGTTATGCTCCTTTGATAATCTCTTTGTCAGCTTTTGCAGCTTTAGATTTTTTAAAGGCTTTCGATACAGTAAATTATAAACTGTTGATGGTCAATCATTATTATGGCTTGAGTAACTTCTCTTTATCGCTCCTTCGGGAGATCCTTTTTTACAATCGCTTTCAATAGGTTCCTGTTCGTAACGCTTCTCCTAGCTTGCTTTCCAGCAAGGACATAGTCAGACACTGTGTAACACAGTGAGTCGTTTTATCCTTGTTGTTTGCCAACGTTAAACAAGGATGAAACGATTCACTGTATTACACAGTGTCTGACTATGTCCTTGCTGGACAGCAAGCCTAGTTTCTTCTCCTAGTGTCTTTTATTCTATTCTATTGTCTAAGATTTTATTAGGAGTCACGCAAGGGATTCTGTCTTTGATTCTATGTTATTTAATTCTTTTGTTGTAGATCTTTCCTTTCTGACAATTATTTCTATGACCTTCAACAAATTGCTGAATGATCTATAGCAAATGGATTACATCTAAATGCCTCAAAATCCTCGCTTCTGATTACGGGATCTTACTTTCTCCTTTGGTTTTTTTAGATTAGCTTAATGTCGATGACATCTGAATTTTATTTCAAATAATAAGTATCGCGCGAAAATACTGATAATTGAATATATAATTTCATTATACAATATATAAAATTATATAAAATTATATATAATTATATCCCAGATAGCAACGTGTCTGTCTTGTTGCTGGCATGTTGCTTGCTAAGTATGCATTGCTACCAGAATTGCAGCAACTGAGTCCTCATTTGTTGGCAACTTG